TGTCATTTATAAATTACCAATAAAATATATAAAAAAAATAAAAAACAATATTATTAATAATAAAAATAAAATAAATACCACTATTATTAGCCATGAGAATAAGCAGTTTATTAAAGAAAGATCAGTGTTATTAAAATGGCTGTTTAAATGGTATCAGATTAAGGGTAAAGTTGGTGAATATGTCGTATCTCGTAAAAAAAGAGCATTAGTTTGCGGTAATGATTGTCATTTTTTTTCATTAGCATTAAGTAATTCAATATTTCTTAATATTAGGTCTTTGTTGCGTTTCTAAAAATACATTTACTTTTCACCATATCTTTATATATATATATGTATAATTTTATTATTTTTTTTTTTTTTTGTCACAAAATTTGTTCAATTGTAAAACATTTTTTCTGGAACAATGTAGATCTATTACCTTTATTTTTTTTAGAACATTGTAGAAAATTATACTATACAGTAAAACATGGTCAATTTTTTTTTATATACTTTTATTAGCACTAATAATAATTTATTATTTTATTGTATTCAATTATGTTTTCTTAGTTAGTAAATAATAATATTTACCGAATTTTTGATTAAATTAAATTGTATTTTTTGTGACAAACAATGTGTTTATTATACATGAAAGAAGGAAAAAAATATTGATCATGTGAAAAAATATTTGTTCTGTATTATTTTTTGTTTAAAATTTACTGTCTTTAAAATTATTTTTCTTTTCAAAAATAGTTTTCTTGCTTTTTATTCTTATAATTATATAAAATTGTTTTATTAAATACAAATATTGTTTTTAATATCTATACTCCTATTAGAGTATAGATCTATGCAAATAATTGTATTAGGTAATACCTTATTAATTTATCAGAATCAAGACTTGATGTTAACTGTTGTTAATATTTTGCTTAAATATGAATCATTGTGTCATGATTCACAGCAAAATATACTAAAGTAATTATATAAAAAAAAAAAAATTAATTATTGATTGGTAAAGAAACTTGAAATAAATTTTGTCGTTTAAATTCTAAATTTTAATAAAATATTGATTTAAAACCATTTATTTATTAACCATATCTCATTTTTTTTTTCAATTGTTTATTCCATTTTATTTTCTTCATAATATTGGCCACAATCTGTCAATAAGAACATTAGGTATAAGTAATAAGAGATAAGCCAAGTTAAGCTAAATCAAAATAATTAAATTATTAGTGATTAAATAAGTAAGTATTGTACCACCATCGGCACCATCAATTCAACATATTTCAAGGATTATCGGGTATATATTTTAATCATATCGAAGATAGGAAAAGTGGAACGAGTATTATATAAGAACTAATTTAAAATTTTAAAGAGTGCTTTGGTTATGGCTCAGAGGGTTTTGAATTAGAAACACTAAATATTATTAATGTTTGAAATTTTTAGATTTGGTAAGTTCATGTTAGTTTAAAATAGACATAATAGAGTTCATATATAGAAGCTTAATAATCATATTATGTGTTTGTAATTTGTAGGTTAAGAGAAATCTGAAATAAGAGAAGACAAATTGGGATTAAATATGAGACTGTATATCTAGATGATAAATCTAAATTCCATTTTAAACAGAAGACGTCTGTTTAATTTAATCAGATGCAATCGATGATGATAAAAGTCAAAGTCAAGTAGTTACTTAACCTTTTGAAATTGAAAACCGTAGTAATTTTTTCGAAAACTTATGGTATATGAACATATAAAACATGTAAAACGCATAATTGTAACATTAATACATTCATCGCTCTGCTCAAAAGTTTAGTCTTTTTTCAACAAATGTTTATATTTTTTTTTTTTTTTTCTATACATGGAATGATTTTCAAAATATTCTGAAAACCTATTTTTTTTTTAGCCATTTGGCTACATACGAATTATGTCCCAAAATACGAAAATATATATTACGAAATGCAAATTGCGTCCACGATTTTCTCACATGTACGAGTACGTCCTGGTTAATAATATACATGTATTTTCCTTACCACTTTTAAAAACTGAGGACTATCATATATTTAAATAGTGAAATGGTTAAAAATTTTAATTGTATATTAAAAAATTATTTGTTGTTTTAAAATATAAGATGATTTTACAAAATATTGTGGTTTACCAATTTTTGAACGAATTCAAGACGTATTATATGTTTTCTGTACGCGCATATCATTTATTACTTATTAGTCAAGACAAGATTAGACAGATAATATTTTAGTAACAAAAAATGCCATCTGACAAAGATTTTGCAATTTGTATATGAAATACTACAAAATTTAGAAGAACAAGAAAAAAATCACATCCATTAAATCACTCTCAACGCAATTGTTTCATTTATACGTAAATTGAGACATAATGAAAAAAAATGTAAAAACTTAATTATATATAGGTATAGCAAATAAGAGAGGAAATTAGAAAAGAATATATTAATTTCAGAAGTATTTCTCCAGAAGAAAGGCTTTTAATTAAAAAAAGGTGTAATTGGGTGTTCGCCGTTCAGTGATAGAAACAACGAACAACGTTCAAGTTACTTCGATAAATAGTTTAAAAATTATTTTTAATTTAAAAACAACATTAAATTGTGATTTATATACAATCATTGTTATACTTGAATGGATGATTACAAAAACGACACGAGTCACATTTTTTGTGAAACGTCATGAGTCAGAAAACTTTGAAAGTCAATAATAAAAAAAATATCACATTATTTATATACACAAATTATGTATAATCAGTGCATAATATATTTCTACAAGTATTCATTTTTAAATAAGAATTTTTTTTAGAATTATTTAAATTATACGCTTTTTATCAATTATCCAAAAATTTTAAAAAATTGACTCATGTCGTTTCTGCAATTATCGATTTATTTGGTGTTATGTAAATCTTATAATAGATTTTAAGCACATAGTCCCAAGTCCTAAGCCCTGTTAATTATTATAAAAAATAGTCTAGACTTAATACATATTTATCTGTGGTCTAACGCAAGTTATAATTTTAAGTAGTGTAGGTATAGTTAGACTAAAATATATTCTATGTATTATAGCTATACAGATATGAGGTATTTGATTGTAAGAAATTATAGCGTTATTCGATTTTGATATTTCAAAAATACATATTTTTTTAAAAGTTAAAATGCTTATTTATAGAAAATGTAAATTCATACAATTTACATAAAGGTAGTCATTGTTAATACACGGGATAATAACAGTATAATATTATTATAATATTAAAAAGTAAAAACAATTCACAAATTCACAATTGAGTATTGACAAACAAGTAAACAACGTCCGACAAGTGAAACTATTCAAATGTTGTTATGATGCCACTACCATCCACTACAGTCCTTCCACTTATGCCGCTGCCACCGTACTCAGCATTATCAGTTATCAATTACCAGTTATCACATTGTTATCTGTGTTATTTATTATTATTTACCGCCAACCACCTGCGGTTATTCAAATACTTGTATGCGTGCTTAAAAACTATTATACACTTAGGGAAATTGTATTTTCTTATGATAAATATATAGCGACACAATCTTATAACCCAACACTGGAATGCTATACATTTTAAGTGTTACAATATAATGTCTTGACCGTGTGCTACAGTCGAGTAGTATTGCAGGGTCGGACTGGCGTCAAAAGGCCCAATCTTCAATCTGATCAAGATGCCCTTAGGTTAAACTAAAAATTGTTAGCTCCGTTTTTTACTATCGAACTAATTCATAATCGCCTAAAACGGTTGTAAATGATTTCTGAAATAAATGAACAGTCCTAATATTTACTTAATATATTTAGACCAATAAATTACTTGTTCTTACCAGTGGCCAGTTTATTGGGCAGGATCAGGCTGTCTGTAAGCGCAGCAAGAGCAGACACTGCTGTTTCTTAATAATGCTTACCTGTGCACTCTGGTTTGAAAATGTTTAAAAAGATTTTATACAAGAATAACTACCTACCTATAGTCTATATTTTTATTTGAGTATAATTTATTGATATAGGTAGGTAACCTTATGATATAACAATTAAATTTACATTTCGACAGGACTCATGTTAGATTAAAATTTAAAATAAAGAATGACTTATTAAGTAGATTCAACATTATTAATGCATAGTTGCATCGTACTACCTATTTAGTAGGTATTTATTATACGATTGATGGTAAACACTTTCATGATTTTACTACGATTATTCGTTACTCCGCATTCGTATGCAGTTTTTACTTTAAATAAATTATAAGTTATAGTTATACAGAATACATCGAGTATTTTTTCATTAAATTAATTTCATATTATTCATGTTTTATATTGAAATTAGTTTTATCTTGTATTAGTTTGTATAGGTACTTATGAAATTTCTCATAAAAAGGTAGACCTTGGTCGTAAAGTAAAATTGTTATGTCTATCGATAGGAAATGTTATGTTCATTGAAGTTCTTTAACAGCATTGACAATAATTTGAATAGTTTTATTAGTAATAGCAATAATACTGCAATATATTTAAATGAATTCGATGTATAGTTATTACTTTATAGTTTGTTTTACGCAAGTCTAAAAACAATTTTCATTATGATACCTTTGCCCCACAATAATGTCACTGCTAATACTAATGCTTTTTAGTATGCAACTTAGGCAATAATTGTATTCATTTATGCATAAAAAACATGTTGTAAATTCGCATTAAAGTTAGTATTGATAAACAGTAGTTATAATTTTATTGATAAGCAACGGTAGTTAGGTTTTTAGCTATTTTAAATAAGAATTTTTGTGATATAATGTTGGCAACGTCGGCTTTGCAAAAAAAACTTTTTTTTATATTATTTTGATGCGAAAAAATTGTTGTTCCAATGTTGGTATAACTGATCTCCCGAAATTTAATTTGGTGATATCTCACTGTTATCAAAATTGGGAAAACTGTATTAGCCCCGTCTATGGAATAAATAATATTCTGTGATACAAATTGGTTGTTTTTGTAGATGATAATAATATTAATAATCATTTGTAATCAGTAAGTAGTAACAACTATAAGTGCAACTATGTCTGAAACGAAGAAAATTTAAAATACTACCTGGTACTTGCTTATAAATACAATTTTGTGTATACAATTTTTATTTTTATCGAAACTGAAGTCCAAAGAAAAATATTTGCTCATGATTTTGACTATAAGTAGTTTGTTGATGATGTTTGCTAATCTCATGCAACAAACAAAAAAAATTATTCAAGAGAAGTATTTAAAAAATGACAGTGGAAATACAACGGCTACTACAATTGAAATCGAAGCTACAGATGAACAACTCGAAGAGAAAACACAAGAATTGAAGGACCAAATCTTTGGTAGGTATATTCAATGTTAGGCATTTACACAATATTATCAATTGGTTTAAAAATTATTTTTGAACAAGCAGATATTATTAGAACAATTAAGGATCCTGAAAAACCTTCTACACTAGAAGACCTTAATGTTGTGTATGAAAATGGAGTGGAGGTTAGTATTCAAAATAATGATTTTATTTGGTAAACAGATGCAATTATAATATATTCAATATTTATTCATTCAAGTTATACTTAAACTTGTGCACATACATATTCCCTTTGAGGCTTTGAATTACACTCCCAAATTTATAGGATCAGCCACCATTGTGAAAACTGTTTACTATTAGTTATTAAATATAACAATCAAGTACTTCTATGCAGTTGACACAAAAAAAAAAAATACCATTTTAAAATACTTAGTACTCTTCTTCATTGTTCAATAAACAAATTATTGCATTTATTTTTACATTAAAAAAAAAAAAAAAAACTAGTACTCATGGAATCAACCTTAATTCCATACTCTATTTCAAATAAGTCTGGAAAACACCATACAGACAAGTTCCTCTATCATTGGCTACAATTATCGGCACTTGTCGTAATCAGTCAGAGTCTAAAACTCACTACTATGTATATGAACTGTTAAAATAATAATGACTCCAGCAGCTGCAGATTAAAATAATATATAAATTAATTATTCTGGATCATACAGGATTGAATGTTTAATAAGTTATTAAGGTGATATTTGCATAATATAATTATACTATAATATTACTTACCATATAATAAAAGAAATATGTAATTGGTTACCTCTAAAATGTTTCTTACTATTTCATTTCTATCAATAGCATTATTAAGTACAAATGTAAAATAATATACACAATTGTACACTGCTGGTTAGATATTTTACTTTGTATGTAAATTATTGATATGTATTTAAAATAATACAAAAATGTAATGATTAAATTACATTTTTTAATTAAAATTATGTCGTTAGATTTAAAATGTATTAAAATAAAATAAATTAAAAAAAAAAAAAGTAATTGTCGCATTATAGAAAACACTCATTCACTTTTAGTAGTAACAAAAAATTATTTACTCAGAGCAATAATTTAGGAATAAGTTATATAGCTAGTAATGTGTATTTAATCTGATATATACTTCTAGAGATTTAACATAAATATATTTTACTCCAATTTATTGCTTACCATCTTTTATTTTTTGCTTACTAATACAAATTATAAATAACATAACTTGTGTGCTATAAAAAAATGATAAGTATGTTTATTTTAATATCTATAAATTAATTGTTATAAATTCAGCACCTATGATTATGTCATTCTAACTAAATGTATTATTTTTATGTACTAGGATTATAATATATTAATGAATAAGGTTACTTATTAGAATATTTAAATCACTAAAAAGTAACTTTGAAAATAATAATTGCAGGTAATTAATCAAAGAAACTTGAAATTGTATACAGTCCGAATTGAATTTAACCCTACAGTACCACATTGCAGTTTAGCTACTTTAATTGGGCTTAGCATAAGAATTAAAGTTATAAGATCTATTTTGGAGAATGTTAAATTGGATATATATATTAAAGAAGGTGCTCACACAACTGAAGAAGAAAGTAAATACATGTTTATGGATTATATGTTTTTTTTTTTTTAATTATCGATTTATTAAATCATTATATTTACAGTTAACAAACAAATAAATGATAAAGAACGTGTTGCAGCTGCAATGGAAAATCCAAGTTTAAGAGATGTAGTGGAAAAATGTATAAAAGAAGAAGAATAAAAATTAAGTTTTAAGTATATATTATGTGTAATATATATATTGAAAGTTTATACGATGGTGTATGCCTTTTTAATGATCTTTTTAAGTAAATTGTATTGAATAATTTCAATTATATGTAAATATTATTATAATTTTGTAGTTTATTATACTGTTTAAAAATTTAATTATAAATCATAATTACAGAATGGAATTTGATTTTTATAAATAAAAGTACTTAAAATAATAGTAAGCTTGAAATATAAACTTAAAAACATCTTTTCAAACTCAACAGTAAGTAAGAAACCTAAAAAGTGATAATAAAAATAGTAAATAATTATTTTAATTTTTATATTTTTTTTTAAAAATGTTGTTTTAGACTATATTATGTGAAAAATACAATTACATATATGAAATAATTTAACTCTAAAAATTATTAATGTTATTGAAAGTATCAGTATTGTTTAATAAAAGAATTACACTTAGGTAATAAATAATAATTAACTGTATAATATATTTAAATAATCATCTAAATAAAAACTTGATTGAATGCGTTAAAATATAAATATACCAATAATAAAAGTATAATATTCCAAGTTAATCATTTTTTCTTCATTTAAATTAATATATTAATATGACACCTGTGTTTTAATCAGTTATACCTAGTACTTGATTCATTGCTTGCATTTCATTTTTGGTGAGTGGATTTAAAAATAACCCTTTTACTGGTTCTTTATATTCCATATCATTTAATTTATTCACATCAACTTTAATGTTGCTTCTAAGAATATTCATACGTGTATTTAAAGTTAATTGATCTGAAAATTATTTTGTATTTTTATACAAGAACATCACTAATTAATAAAGCATTATAGGTGTACCTGCTTGTAACATTTTTTTAGCTTTTTCAACAGAAACTTTTACCAAGGATAATCCAACTGCCATCCATATTTTGTCTTCTAGATTTTTAGAGTTTGTTAATGCTCTAATGGCCATTCGATTACTATTTCTACTTTTATCTAAAGCAACCATTTCACTTTTACTAAGGAGTATTTTTTCTGCTTGTCTTTCTACTTGAAATAAATATTCCATAGTTGTATTTTCATTGTCCATAATGGATTAATTACTAAAAAAAAAAAAATTAAAAATTATGGTTTCAATATATTTTATAATAAGTAATAACATTTATTTATTAACTTATTAGGTAGATAACAATAATTTATAGTTTAATATCTAATGAAAACATGATTGATAAAAACAAAGTTTTAAAAAATAAATGCATATTTTTATTTCTACTATAATAAAAGTAATTACAAAATAGTGTAAATCAAAATAAATTATTTTCATATTAAATAAATATAATCCTAATACAATAATTATTAAAAGCTATGAAATTTTGTTTTACGTAAATAGAATATACATTTTAATTATAATCAAAGTAGGTAAGTAATAAAAATAACACTATTTGGTACATTATGTTAAAAATAATCAGTTTACAAGATTATATTTTTAAAGTTTTTCCATTAATTTTTTAGTTATGGACTTCATTGTTTGCTCTGCTATTTGTACTGCCATCATTGCTTGATCCATATTTGGTGGTAGTCCATGATATGTTTTCTTCTGTGCAGATTTTAATTTAGAAGTTTCTAAACATATTTTTTCTTGTTTCTTTTCAATGTCTGTTACTTTTTTGACTAACTCCACAATTGCATCACAGTTGTCCACAGTTTGTATATTTTCAATTGGTTTAATGTTGATAGGTTCAGCTGAATAGCCTACAGGTGAGTATTTTATACTAGATAATTCACATTTAAGATCATTTTGTTGTTCAATTACTATTTTTAATTTATTTAAGTATTCATCAATGTCATCAATTAATTCTTTTTGTTTATTACATCTTTCAATGATTGACAAATATTTAGTGAATATGCTATTTGTATTGTAATCATCAATACCAGTTTCTTGTAGAATGTTTGCTGCATATTCTAACTGTTCATTTTTTGATAAAAAATTGAGAGAAATACCAGTTTTATTCGAGTAAAACAATTTTTCATTATCCACAGATTCTTTAAAATTTAAAATTTTTGAAGCATAGTTGTTGTTTTCTTTCTCAATAGATAATGTGTTGACAATATGTTCCATTTGATTATATAATTCATTGTTGTCTTTCAATTGTTTGATCCTATCACAACTGACTTCAAATTCGTTTACTATTGATTTCATTCCCATATTTAATTTTTCTGTATCGGCGGTTTTTAATTTTGATGCCATTCTATTTATTGATATAGGTATATTTAAATTTTAATAAATTTACTTACTCAATCTGTCAAAACAAAAATACATATATATTGCTTAGAATTTCAATTTATTTAAAAAAAATTTGATAAATATAATATTTTGTATGCTAATTATTTGGAACATAATATACTATTTAGATTGTATGGCTAAAAAAGTTTAATTATTACATACACTGTTCCCAATTAATATATTTTTAAAGAAATTGAATAAGTATTTATAAAATAATAATTGTTTTAACACTATGTAATGGTACATAAAAATACTAAAAATAATTAATTCTTGAAAATTAATTAAACATAATTTTCATGAATATACAGGGAAATTGTAGAGGAATTACCTAAGATAAAATAGAAACTAAATAAAAAAAAATACATAATTAATTAGTTTTTAAACTAAATCCATAAGATATTTTATTATATACCAAACCAATATTTTTAATTATTATTATTTATTCTTCAGTCGTTATATTTTCCAACAATAATATTATATAGATATGCAGCTAACTAAAACTATTTTTTGAGTATAAAACTCCATAAAATATCATGTAATAAAATTACTGGATAAAAAAAGTTAAAATATAAACTAAATATGTTATGATTTTACTTACTTCAAAATCAAGTTTTAGAAATACAAATAAAGTAAAATTCACAGCATTAAAATTAAATTTCTATAAATATTAATACTTCAAGTAATTTTAATATTTTAACCGATACTCTAAAAAGACTTAGACTAAAGACTAAAGAGTTATTAATTAGTAATTATTAATACTACTATAACTATTTACTGGTTACGACTGTTACGAGTGTTACGACTCACTAAAATTGTTTAACAATAATTTTTATCAGATAACATAAATTGAATTTCTATTTTCTATCAGTGTAGGTATAAGTTTTACAAATGTTATTAATATGATTTGTGATGGTGTAATAAATGGTTAAACTGATTAGTAACCTTTAAAAATATAATTTATGATTTTTTTAATTTATTATTATTTTCCCGCCGATTTTGTTGATATATTAATATTTACTTATTGTCTTGTTGTTTGTTATATTATAGTTTCTATTCAGTGTTTAGAAGAGAGTGAGGAGACAACTGAACCACCCGAGGTCAGAACTTGAATTCAAGAGAATGAAATTATTATTTTTATGTTTTTTATATTCATGTTGAATAATAAAATACACTTTATTTTATAGTTACAGTTGCACTAAGTATCACATTTTAATTTGTGTTTCTGGAAGATTCAAGTAAATACAACTTTATAACTTATACTTTCTTGATAGTTATTAAGTCTCATAATTTTTGTTGTGATTTAAGGTATGTCTGGTCGCACCCCCCAAAGAAATGGTGCTACGCCAAGAGAAGAACAAACTCCTCAAAATGGTACAACTACTCCAAGAGGAAGACAAACTCCTCGAAATAATGCTACTACTCCAAGAGGTGGCCGTACTCCTTCAAGAAATGGTACTACTCCAAGAGAAGGAAGAACTCCTTCTAGAAATATGACACCAAGAGTTAATGGCCGTTCACCTCATACTAGAACACCTGGATCTGTTTCTAGTCGTCGATCAGGTGCTATAGTCTCTGAAGCATCTTCACCAGCTCGTCGTTTTATGACAAGTCCTTTGCAAGGTTTACGTACCAGTGAAGTCGACCTCAGCTCTCCAATAAATTATGGCTCTCCTTTAAGTTCTATAGATTCTCGAGCTACAGGTTTCACAATGCGTAGTGGTGGTTCAGTTCAAAGAAATAACTTATCAGTTAATCGTCGGCAAAGGCAAGTGGATACTACAAATTATGAAAATGGAGCTCCTCGTTCTGATAACGAAAATCAAGATGTTGCTCCCAATTTAGTCATATGGGGTACAGATGTTGTAGTTGATAAATGTCGTTTAAGATTCCAAAATTTTATTGAAACATTTTGTGTCGATGAAACTGAATTGCCTCATTATATGGCTAAATTAAGTAATGTTTTGGAAATGGAAATTCCATATGTAGATTTAAATTGTGCTCACTTATATCAATTTGATTCTGAACTTTATCAACAATTAATCTGTTATCCACAAGAAGTTATCCCAGTATTTGACACAGTTGTTAATGAAGTATTTTTCACTAAATATCCAGCTGCTGACTTGACACATGTCACCAAGGCTCTTCAAGTGCGTCCTTTTAATGTACAAAAAACTAAAAATATGCGATTCCTTAATCCCGAAGATATGGATCAGCTAATAACTGTTTCAGGAATGGTGATTCGATGTAGTGACATTATACCTGAGATGCGTGATGCGTTTTTCCGATGTATTGTATGTTCTTATACAACTATTGTAGAAATTGATCGGGGTAATATTGCTGAGCCAACTCTTTGTCCTCATTGTAATACTAATCATTGTTTTGAATTAATACATAACCAGTCTAATTTTACTGATAAACAATTGACTAAACTTCAAGAATCCCCTGATGAAATGCCTGCTGGTCAGACTCCACATACTGTAAATTTATACTCTTATAATGAACTTATTGAAACTGTGCAAGCTGGTGACCGTGTATCTGTTACGGGTATTTATCGAGCTGTTCCAATGCAAGTTAATCCTAGAATGAGAAACTTTCGAAGTGTATACAGGACTCACATTGACATTTTACACTTTTTAAAAAGTGATGATAGCCGTATATCATTTGCTGTTGAAGAGAAAAATAAAATAAGTGAAGAACGAATTGAAATATTACGACAATTATCCAAGACAGTAGATATCTACGATAGATTATCAAATACTTTAGCACCTTCTATATACGAAAATTGTGATATAAAAAAAGGTATACTAATGCAACTGTTTGGTGGTACTCGAAAAACTTCTAAAAAGAAAAGTCATTTAAGATCTGAAATAAATATATTATTATGTGGTGATCCAGGTACAAGTAAATCACAGTTTTTGTCTTATGTTTATGATATTGTACCTAGAAGTCAGTATACTAGTGGTAAAGGGTCTTCAGCTGTCGGTATGACGGCTTACGTTATTAGAGATCCAGAAACCAGGCAACTGGTTTTACAAACCGGGGCTTTAGTTTTAGCTGACAATGGAGTTTGTTGCATTGATGAATTTGATAAAATGAGCGAGTCAGCCAGAAGTGTATTGCATGAAGTTATGGAACAACAAACTTTAAGTATTGCCAAAGCAGGAATTATTTGTCAATTAAACGCTAGAACTTCCATTTTAGCTGCAGCAAATCCGTGTGAATCCCAGTGGAATAAAAACAAGACTATTATAGAAAATATAAAACTCCCCCACACCTTGTTATCCAGATTTGATTTAATATTTTTAATGTTGGATCCGCAAAATGAACAGTATGATAGAAGATTAGCCAATCACTTGGTATCCTTATATTACAAAACTGAACACTACGAACGCGATGAACAAATGGATACTAGCCTACTTCAAGATTACATAACTTATGGACGAGAAACATTTCAACCGATTTTAAATGAAGAAAGCAGACAAAAACTTATTCAGTATTATGTAAACATGAGAACTGTTGGAAGCGGTAGAGGACAAATATCTGCATATCCAAGACAATTAGAATCTTTGATTCGATTATCAGAAGCTCATGCAAAAATGAGATATTCAAACGTTGTAGAAATTAAAGATGTTGATGAAGCTTGGAGGTTATATAGAGAAGCCCTAAAACAAAGTGCTACAGATCCTCTTTCTGGTAAAATAGATGTTGGAATATTGACTACAGGATTGAGTTCAGCTGCAAGACAAAGGCGACATGATCTCGCAGAATATTTAGCTAAAGTTATATCAAGTCAACCAAAATCTGCTATATTTAACTACCAAGAATTATTAAGAGAAACTAAATTAGCTTTTCAATTTCAAGTAACCAGAGAAATGTTTGATGATGCTCTTAAAGAAGTCCAAGATTTGGGGCAAATTATAGTTACAGGAAGAACTACAATTCGTAGTATTTAAGTTATTCAATAATTTATACTTTTTTTTACGTCATAAATAATTACTGTTTTAATTAATATTATTGATGTGTGTACTTTTTATAATATTTAATGTATGTAGGTAATCAAAATCATTAATAAAAAAAATTCATTCAAACATTAACAGATAATTGCTTTATTGACAAACTTCTTCCATTCCTCATAATGTTCAACTGTTTATTATGAACTGTAATAATATGAACATAAGTAATAAAAAAATAATATTTATACTTTATAATGTATATATACATTTTTAAAAATGATTTAGTAATTTCACTTGTTTTCTATCAATCTTTTCTGTAAAATATTGAGGGACTAACAGAAATCAATGTTATGAGTGTTATACAAATTGGTACACCTTAAGAAAAATGAGTACATTTTACAAGTTGTCTGTATTGTGTCAAATGATTAATGATCATTAAAACTATATTGAGTTAAAAATTTAATTTTGTTCAAAATATTAACAAAACAAAAATTTTTTAAATAAAAACATTAAGTTTTGTTAACATGCATTCAAAATAGTTGATAAACTTTTACACTTGAGCAGCTTTCTTGGCTTTTACTATTTCAACAATTTCTTTATATCTTTTCATACATTCCTTTTTCGTTCTTGTTGGAACACATTCTGCTATTCTATCCCAACGTTCTTTTACTGCATTTGGATACGTTTTAAGAGCTTGTTCCAATAATTTTTGCTCGTCTGCTGACCATCCGACTGGACGTTCTGAAACCACTTCAGGTACTAATGATTCACATTTTTTTTCCTTTTCAAATTGATCATAGGCATTGGCATTCATTTCAGATTTTAAAGCATTGTCAGTGTAGTTAGTACTTTGAAGAGATTTAGCTTTTGCTAATACTTGTTTGGCATTTCGTTCACCATTCTTACTATGTTGATTGATAAAATTTGCAACAGCTTCCCAACGTTGGTTTGTACCAGCTGGAAACAAATTGACCGCTTTTATCAATAATTGAACATCATCTGTTTCCCAATCATTATTATTTTTTTCAACTATTTTGGTATCATTTTTAATAACATTATTCATTTCAACTCTACATTCCATTTGTTTAAGCTTTTCTATTAATGCTTTACGACCTTCTATTTGAAGGGCACTTGCCAATTGTTTAAGCTGAATGGCAGAAAGTTGATCACAAATTTTTTCAACACCAGACATTATTTCAATAACATTATCACCGTTTTGTATATAGTAATTATTTGTTTTGCATAAGTCCCTTATATGTTTACGTTCTTTTTTCAAAGCTTTTTTTTGACTATCTTTTTCTGCCTTAAGAGCATTTCGTTGTGCCTTTTCTGCAGCCTCGCGTTCTTCTTTTTCTTTTTGTACTTTAGCTTCTTCTTCTTCTCTTAATCTAATTTCTTCCTCTAGTTTTTGTCTTATAGCGTCTTTTTTGGCTTGTTTCACAGCAGCTTTTCGTTCTTGTTCCTCTTTTTTAAATTTTAAAAGTCTTGGATCATTAGCATATGCAAGATCAACTAACTGTCTAATACGAGTACTCTCTTCTTTTTTTAGTTTAGTACGATTTGCACGATTTTGTTTTTCAATCCATCTTCGTTCTTCACGATCTGAGGCCTGTTCACGATCTTCTTCATCAAGATATGAAAATTCTCTCCATGAATTAAAACCATACCAAAAATTGTAGAAACGATCAACATGATCACGGCTACTATTTATATCACCTAAAAGTGGTACAGAACTTTGCTCAGACCACATACTATTACGAACAAATACCGGGCCAAATAGTTCAAAAAAGTCAGATTTTTTCGCCATTTCCTTAGAAGGAATACTGTTGTCAAATTTAGGATCAATTGAATCATATGCACGTCTTTTAGTTTTATTTCCAAGAGTTTCCCAAGCTTTAGTGATGCATGTAAAATAATCATCATCGCCTTGAACCTTCTCACCAAGCTTTTTTCTTTTATCTGGATGATGATTAAGAACTCTACGCCTATAAGCAGTTTTGATTTGTGCTTCAGTGGCTTTATATCGTAATTTTGATAATCCTAAGACTCTGAAATAGGATAAAAAAAAATTTATATATTAATTAAAATTCAATAATTATAGAAGAAAAAAATACTAACTAAAATTAATTTCAACTACTTCAGATATCACCATGGTTGATATTTATCAAACACATAATACTAATTATAAAAAATAGTTATGTACAAAGCTAAATAAGTTAAATTTCTTTATAAAAAGTTGTCATTCTGTTCACTTTTAAAAGTTTGATTTAAGGTTATATAGTGGGTCTAAATCTTGAAGGCAAAACAAAAAAATAGACAGTATAATATCCCAATTAAATATTCTTTTAAATATTTTGGTAAGTCATTTGTGAGCTATTTGATGTATCTTAACTACATGCCGTGTCAATACAAAAAAAATTTCAATATTTTAAAAAATAATGTTAAAAATATTGCTTATAATTTGTTATTTTCTCGATTAGTTGAAGTCATACATTTGTTAATATGTATATAATGTATAGTTAATTTATTGTTTTTTAAATATCTAATGCATTTTGTTTATCATTTATTATTATTATTAACATATATTTTTAGTTAAGAATTTATTTCTCTTTTTCTCTAATACAAGCTACTAGTTTAAAAGAGATGGATAATCATGTAAAGTATTTAATATTTTGTAAGTTATGATGTCAAGTAAAAAAAAATTGGATACATGCCTAATAAAAGTAAGTAACTGAATGTAGTAAGGGAACGTGAATGTTATCTCATATTCCTTGTAAAAATATATAAGCTTTTATATCATATAAATATAGACTAGATTGATTATAATAGCAAAATTTAAAAATTTAAACTGCTTTAAAAAATTAATATGATTTTCATGAGTTTATTTACGTATATGCATAGTAGAAATTAATCGGCAGAAACAACATTTGTAATATTTTCTTTTAATACCTTATAAAAACTAATGATTAGTGTTTTCATAGCTTAACAGAATTAATTGATTTACATATTAACTTAACTGGATAGTATTATACATTGAATTAAAAAAAAAAAATAATAAAATAATTTATTATTTGCTTTAAATAATATAATTTTTGTTTTTATGACTACTGGATAGCGTAAAATATTGGTTGAAATCTTGCATAGCAAAATATGAAAGATTCATTCCTCACATTACCAGTCTATAGAATAAGTTTTTATTATAAATAGGTATGTCCTAATCATTATTCATTATGAATATAATAGTTCAGTCTATTAGATAAATCATAAATGATATTAAGTATGACTATATAATACTAAATATATATATATTTAATAATTACTGATAATGATCTTGATCTTTCCATTCTTTAGGATCTAGAGTTTTAAGATAAATTGTATCTGCTTGACTTTCTTCATCGATAAATGATTCGTTTGTATCTTCTACTTCTTCACCATTAGTTAAACATTTATCTTGAACAGTAGAGCCTGATAAATATCTCAATATCCATGGTCCAACCGTTTCCACTATACGATGTTGAACATTTAGTATAGATGGTTTCTCTTTGTCTTTCATTATATATTTAAGTAATTTGATGACGTACTACAATCACAATTAAATTTACTCACGCATAATCTGAAATAACACAGACATAGATAGATATTGAAACTTAAAAAAAATAAAATTTTACCCATGTAAAACATACCTATATTTTTGTTAACTTAAGTTGACACAATTTTTTATTATAAATCAAATTCATAGAATCAAAAAATTGTACTTACCCTTAAATTGTAAATTTTTAAAATAACGAATAAAATGTTGATCATACATATATTAATGTTAATTATGCACTAATGAGGACTTCAACTAATTTGAAATTCTCAAAAATAAAAAAAGTAATTTTTTTGAATATAGCAATTCTTGTTTCGGAATTTGTAGGTTAAGTGCTTTGAACAATTCAAGGACATTTAATAAAATATATATTAAGTAAAGATTCACAAGTTTATAACATCCTTGAATTTATTTCATAAGTGGTGAACCACTTGTTTGCACCAGGCGTGTATTACATCTAACCGGCAGGCGGCAACCTCTAATAAATAATAATCTGAATCTCTAGTAATTCTTTACTCTGTAGTTCCGTTCTGCAGTACTCAAATCAGTGAAATATTCAAATTATTAATATTTAATAACAACAATAATTAATAGATAATGATTTGTTTTGTTGTATACAATTATCTTTCATTATATTAACCATAATACATTATTTAATTACATTATACATACGTTAAACACGTTTTACACATTGTACGATACAATTCAAAGTGTAAAACGAATAACAGGACTAAAGCAACGTTGATGTCAGATTTCCCTAATTTTAACGATTATATAATAATTGTGAAAAATAGATAGTCGTGATACGTATAAAGGAAAATAAACATTATAAACTATAAATTACAATATAGTTAATATATTAAGCAAACGATTTTTTTAAACTGATTAACCTGTTGAAATTTTACTTAAAATGTAAGTCATTCAACTTATTAAAGTATATTATTTTATTCATTTATGTCTAAAAATATAACAATTATCTGATTTGAATATTTTTAAAATTAGTGATATTGCATCTTGAGTAGGTTGACAATGTCAATTAAAAAAAAAAAACGATTTAAACTAAAAACTAACTTTTTTAATTTGACTCCATGAAAATACGTTTTATTGGCTCACTAATATACATATTTTGTTTTATCTTATCACTTAATTTGTTTTCTATGTATACTGAACTTTGTTTTGAATTCAAAATTATTTTTTTTTTACTTTACTGTTAATGCCATTACTATTCGTAATATTGTCTTGACCAATATTTGTATGTTATTTTTCCACAGATTACGAAATAAATCATAATTATGACTACTCCATCATCTACAACCAGTCAAAAACACAAAGCGTTCTCTGGAGAACCAATGCGAGACAAACCAGTAGAAGATCTTGCTGGTATTGGACCTGTATTAGCAGGCAGACTGAGAGAACAAGGTTTCAACAAAGTAAGTTGATATAGGAACTTTTTTAATTAACATACATTCCTATATAAACTATTATACTTTCTTAAATTACTATCTCATTTTAGAAATATTTGTTTTACATACTAGGTAATTATTGATTATTATAACACTGTATAATTTACATTATTATCAGTAATTAATGCAAAACAAAAGATAATTCATTTTTATTATACTTATCTAATATCTATAATTTTTTTTTTTTTTTAGGCTTACAATGTATTGGGTCAATTTCTTCTTTTAGAAATGGATCAAGAATTATTCTGTGACTGGTTAAAAGATATAGCGAAAGCTAACTCAAAACAATCAAAAGATTGCCATGCTTGCTTAAAAGCATGGTGTGATGAATTTTTGTAGATGAATATTGTAGTTTGCAATAATAATTCTTAATTCTAATGTTATGTTTTGGTTCATTAAAATTGTGTGTACTAATTATTTAATATAAGTAAATATTTTGTATAAAATATATACATAAAAATATTAATATAATTCTTATTCTGTAATTCATTAGAAAATAATAAAATAATATTTATCAATCACTTTATGTACAATTTATATTTTTATAATTTCAAATTGACAAAAAATAAATCTAACCTATGATCATAAAATGAACATGTAGAAATTATTTTTTGATTTTTTGATTTTGTGTCATGTTCAAATAGTATATCGTTTTGGTGACACCAATCAGCTCCATAGTAAAGCCTATTGCTTTTCTCTCCAAAAGATTGACAAATATCAGCTGCATTAAATGATGTATCTATAATATGAGCACCATTAAACATTGAAGCACTTAAAAGATATTCTTCTTTATTAGGTTCCCATTTCAATCTCCAAACTCCGCCGTCAACTTTGACATTATTGTAACTATGCTTCATATTACGTATATCCCACAGTCTTATATTTTCATCATAACTAAAATATTGGTAAATTATACATTAATAAACTGCTATTTATCCAAAAAAACATGTTTACCTTCCAGTAACAATTATATTTTCTCGTATTTTATTAGATGAGCAAGTGGTTACTCCTTGTTCATGTTCCTTATTTTCAAATATAGGTTTGTCAAATTGTAATCGTTGATCATAACATTTAAATTTACAATCATCACCACCTATAATAAAAATATAATTTAATTCACAAACCATGTTTAATTTAAAGGAACTATTTAGAAACTAAAATATAAATTTATTATACATTCAAAAATAACTAAACAAAAATATTTAATAATAATTTATTATACAGTAGAAACTCATTTAACTGTTAGTTTCGGAACCGGGACAATAGCGGTTAATCGAATAGACGGTTAACAGAAATTTTTCAATAAACATATATATTTAACAATATAATTCGCAGACAAAAATAATGTGTAATAAATAATAAATACTTAAAATATATATTATGTAATTTTTTTGAGGCACGAACTTTTTGAGCAAACATAATATATCGTATTTTACGTAGTAAGACCTGCGTTGCATTTACCTTTTGCTACCTCTTGCATTTCAAACCAATCAATGCATTTTGATTACATTACTTTTGCTTTTGAGTGGCTAGTTGGCGTTTCTAAGACCTTTTTCGACGGTGACCGATGACAGATAACAGAGTGACGGTTAAACGAGTTTTTACTGTATTAATAATAATTCACCTGTGTATAATATGTTGGGTTCCCAATAATTATAAGTAACAATCCACGATTCAAAATTATGAGCTTTGAAACTACGTATGAGTTGATCATTTAAATTCACTAAAGTGATATAACCATTAGAGTCACTAAATGCGATATTTTGTGATCCATTCTCATAAAGGGATGACCAAGCAATTGATAAACTCATATGTGATTTTCCATCAGTTTTTGGAAGATCAAAACTAGTGAATAAACATAGAGATAAATTAGTTCCTTTCTCATCTAAAAAAACATAACAATTTACTAGATTTATTGTCTTTTGATTGTTATTGATTGAAAACTAACCCAGGCGATATACACTAACATGATTGCCAGACAATGCAGCTGCTAGTAATACTTGTCCAGAAACAATAAAAGGATTCCACTTTAAATCTAGCACAGCATCTTCGGGAACACTCTGAATCAATTTAATCTGGTTTTGATTGTCTAAAGAGAACAAATTGATAGTGCCAGTTTTTGATTTGTTTGCTTCGTCAAGTTTATAAGTTCCACATACAAGTACATTGTTGTATTTTGGTATTGGACACCATTCCACAGAATCTGCAGGATAAATAGTATCATACGATGCAAAACGATCTACACTATAGTTCCAAGACATCTGCAAATAATATTATAAAATGGAAAAATTAATTTTAAATTTACCCAATTAAGATTATTCTAAAAAAATTTTTCTGTAACATTAATACGCTTACGCAAAACTTTCATAATATTGACAATGATATTAATACAAAACTTGACTATAACATTTTAAAAACAATGTTATTAACGGGGGTTAGAAGTTAAAGCATTAAAAATGGAAAATATGCAAAGTTAAATTTTTAATACATATTATTTGAATATTTAATTTTTTTAAATTTATTTATTTATTATATTTAAGTAACAAAATTCATACTATAAATATATTATAATAATATTGTTATTTTATACATTTCATGGCTTTATGCCTATCTAATCTACTAAAATATATACAAAATTATTTTATCAAAACAACTAACAGATATAAATTACTATTAAAACATTAAATTACTTTTATTTTCATACTAACACATAAAACCACGAAAAATTAAATTTCAAAATTTTTTTAACCTAATGAATTGTTGAGTTATTTTTAAATAAGCCAAGAAAAAAACTAAATTGTTACAATAGTCAATTAAACTAGTAAAAATCATGATGATGAGAAAATTAACTAAATAAATTATAAAGTTAAAGAAAAACTTTTCAATCCGTTAATGCCTTCCACTTTTAAATTTATGTGAAGTAGTATTATTAATAAACTAGTAACACTTCACTGCTCAAAAATTAGGTACCTAGATACTAGTTTATTCTTGTACTAAAAATAATTCACTTGAAAATGTAAAAGCTTCTTGTAAATTTCAAATTACTCTTTTTATTAAGCATTCTCAATGAACAAATAAAAAAAAATAAAATATATTAATTCTATTTAAATATATTTATAATATACCTAAAAATGACAGTGTATGATCCTCTGCATCACACTTTATATTTTTTTTTTTACAATATATTTGTTCTAAAATAATTTAATATAGGTTATGAATTATTATTGTTTTAAATTTAATTTAATATAATTTACAAACAATTACAATAATAATAATAATAACTAATAAAAAAAAAAAATAAGTATAAAATATTATATCTATAGAATATACTACAGAATTTATAAAATATTTTGTATTTATAAAACAAATACATTGATTTTTTAAATTGGGATTAAAATATTAAATGAATTAAATTCAAGTAGGTAGTAGAACTATATAAAAATTAAATATTACAAACTAATTTAAATTATAAACCAGTTAAAAATTAAAAATTTAGTTCTTACTAATAAATTTAAGCACTTTTTAACACAATCTCTCAAGGAAATATTTTTTTAAGAAAAATTGTGTTGATTCTGACATAATTTATTTAAGAGTATTTACAATTTTTGTATTTGTTAATTTTTTATAAAATCAACAATCTATTAATTATTTGTTTTAGTTTTTAGTAATCAAGACAATAATTTGTTTTGAAAATTATTAAAAAAATTTAAGGCAATTAAAATTTTATAAACTAAATATGTTATAAATGGAAGAGTATCTGCATTAATTATTAATTAGCAAGGCCATATTTAATTAATTGATACCCAGATAATGTGCAATAAGATTCTCTTAGTGTAAAAATAAAATGCTTTTTATTAAAAAAAAAAAATTATAATAATAACCTTTAAAACTTGAATTTGAAATTCTTTATTCTCATAGCTGGAAATTATTTAGTTATATTATCATTTTATGATGGTCTTTAGTTCATTTTAAATTATTTTACATCTATATTTTTACATAGGTAATTTGTTTATAGTTTAAAAAGATAACTAATTCAATTAAAAAAAAAAAACATCAATTATTTATTATATTTTTTATGGACTTACACACAATATAAAATACATTTTAAATTAGTACATTACATTTAAATAGCAAATAATATTTTTTAAAAGCAAAATTTTAATAATTATTTTAATCTAATTAACATTTTACGTTGCATAATGTGTTGTATTTCACCTCTTCTGATCATCAAATATATAACTTTATCTATGGCTCTTTGTGGATATTTTTGTCTCAAAAAATCTTGAATAATACTGAATTCAGAAACTTGAGATCCAATTGGGAATCGACGTTTTAATTGCTTTTCAATTCTCTGTAGTGTATCTATGTCTTCTTCAGTTGAAAAACCTTCTACACCAGATAAACAGCCAGATGTAGCAGCACTCAAAGTAGATACTTGAAACAACCTTAATGCTTCATCTACATGACTGTCAGTAGCAAAAGGTTGCAATTGCATTTTAGCTAAAGATTCTGCAATACGAATTATAGCTTCTAACTGTCGAACAGTAATTGGAATGGCAAGTTTTTTCTCAGATTCCAATTCATGACACCCAGTTCTCATAATTACATAACGACTTTTAAGCTTCTCACCAGCTTCTTCAGATAATCGAGGTCCACAACGTTGACGACAGTAATTCAAGAACTTTTTAATTGTTGCCAATGGTAATTCTCCTTCAATTTCTTGCTTGGCTTGACCATTCATTAAATGTACATTCATGATATGCTTAGCCAATACCATATCTCTGTTTTGATTATGTTCATCTTTAATAATAAATATCATATCAAACCTGAAAAAAAAAATATTTATTTATAAAAATGAATGCCAAACGGCTTTTGATAACTATTTTTAAATAATATTATAATCAATCATATACATTATAATTCAATATTTTAAAGTAATTAATAGATCTATGAAATTTTATTTTTTCTGGTAAACTGATACAATAAAAATATAATTTTTTTTAACTAATAAAACTTGGAATATTTTTAAAATTTTGATAATATAAGTAGGGCATTTTTGAGATATTAAATACTTTTTTTTTAATTCTCAGACATAATAATTTGCTCAAAATATCATATTACCTAGATAAAATAGTAGGCATGAAATCAATATTATCTTCGCCTTTACTGTCATCCCATCGACCAAATACTGAATTTGCAGCAGCCATCACCGAACAACGACTGTTAAGAGTAGTTGTAATGCCTGCCTTTGCTATTGATATAGTTTGCTGTTCCATTGCTTCATGAATCGCAACTCTATCACCTTCTCTCATCTTGTCAAATTCATCGATACAAACAACACCACTATCAGCTAAAACCATTGCTCCACCTTCCACCACAAAATTATGAGATGTTGGATCACGAGTTACAGATGCTGTAAGTCCAGCAGCTGAAGAACCTTTACCAGATGTGTATACACCAATAGGTGAAACTTGTTGTACAAATTTTAAAAGTTGTGATTTAGCTGTACCAGGATCTCCCAAAAGCAATAAATTTATGTCTCCACGACGAGTTAAACCATCTGGAAGTCTTTTACGAGAACCTCCAAAAAGCAGACAAGCTATTGCTTTTTTTATATCACTAAACCCAAAAATAGATGGTGCTATAGACTTAGCAATACGGTCATAAATATCAGGAGATGATGACAACTTTCTAAATAGTTCTTCATCTTCAACTGAAGTTGGTATTGAAGTAGTGAAACCCCCAACTTGATCATCCATTTGAAATCCCAAAACTCTTAAATATGGAGCACGCACACCAACAACAGTACGAGAATTTTCAGTAAGTTTTTGTTTTTTTGAAGTCTTGACCTGAAAATATATTAATATAGAATTAAAAAATGTGAATATATTAAATTATATTTATTCTATAAATTTTACCTTTTTTATAGAATAAACACCAACTACCATAACACGGTTCCCTGGAACTACACGTTCACATAAGTAGCGATCACAATATAATTGCACGTGTCGTGGCATTTCTCCTTGTGGTGTAGAATCACTTAATTCTTGTAATTTTAAAATTTGAGAATCAACACATTTGCATTTGTCAGGTATAATAAAATATGGATCTAAAGGACATTGTGGACGGCCAGCTTGTTCAGTGGTACATTTCCTCGGTAATATATAACCGTCCATACCCGGTTTCACAGGTAAATGTGGCACTACATTACGACAGGATCGACATTGTAATGTTATCTGTGTAGCTTTAGCCCGAATACTTGACGCCGATACTATGATACCAGGAATTTTGACCAACCGAGAAACTGACTCAGATTTAATAGAACGTAAAGAAGAAGCCAATGAATTTGTTGACAATAATATTTGAATATGCTCAATATCTTCCAAGTTATCAGATGCAAGCAATTCTTGAGCTAATTCTGTTGCAGCTTCTTCAAATGCTGGCAAATATTCCACTGGCTGTTTGTATAACTTATCAGCAAGATTTTCATCAAATCCAGCTAAATCCTCAATGTTTATTTCCACCCAATATTGACCCAAGTTACAATTTCGTTTTAATGTATCTCTATACTTATAGTTAAAATTTTCTTCGTTGTATGTCTTTAAAAATTCTTTGAACGATTTTTTCATTGATCTTGCATTTAACAATGATGAGGCCAAATTATCATCATCACCGAATGTATCAGAGAAAAATATACCAGGTGTATCAAATCCTTCCATATTTATTTAATTAAGTTTCAACAATATAAAAAATACTACGATAAAATTATTAATAAATGTTACAATTTATCCCAAAATAATAGATTAAAATTTAAATTAATTTAAACAGTTAAAACAAAAGTTGTGCACAACACCGAAACACTAAAATTTTAAATTTATAAAAATAAAATCCAACTATGGTATTAATCCGTAATCGTAGTATAAATACTATAACTAAACACGTAATTGAGTTAATACTTAAATACTAGCTAACAAAGCAAATAAAAGTTAATGCTAAATGGCGGGAAACATTGTTATTAGTACCATTAGTAGGAAGTTAGCAACACTAAACTATTTGTTTAATGTTTTTATTACAAATTGTGTAGACAAAGTTAGTTACGTTATTTAAAAACTAAACATTTGAACTCTCATAAAATAATAAATATTAAATACCTATGAGAATTTTATACAAAATAATTGGTAGTAAATACAAAAAAATAAATATTATTAGTCAATTATAATTATTTTATTATCAATTATTATCAAAACCCACATTTGTATCAATGAATTATGATAGACCATAGTCCATAACCATTCTGCAATCGTTCAAAACAATATTTAGTATAAATGTATAATTCACTATTGTTATTGTACTAGTTTGTTTGAATCAAAAACATTGTACTTAATATAGTAATTTTTAACGTATTTATAGTTTATGAATATTAAAATATTATAAATTATGTTTTCATAACGAATATGTCGGACCATTGTCAAATTTAGTAATACTGTACTATGTTATATAAATGTTAAATTAAGATTTTTTACCTGAAGATTGGAGAGCAATGGGTTTAAGAAAAAACAATTATATTTTTTATTATAAGAATAATGATAAATTTGGTTGTGAAAACTAAAAACTAACACTTGAAAAATTAAAATTAAATTTTATCATAATATCTCCACATTCCCATTTCACACAGTTTTTATCAGCATTTACTATTTAGTATTTATTATTTAGTTCTGTTAACAAAGATGATACAAAATTAGTGAAATGAAATTACGAATTTAAATTTTAAATATCAAATTATTTAAATGATCACAATATAATTTTTCAGAAATTCTGAGTCTCGTAATTCGTAAATATTGAAAAATTAGTGTTATAAATTTATGTAAAATGATTGTTATCAAGAAAATTATTCTCAGCAAAATGCTTTTATCTAATATATAACGAAAACAATTTACTTACGATAATTATTGCATAAAGAATAAATTTCTTAGTAACCAATTTTACATAGGTACATTACTTATATATCATGTTGCAGTTAAAATATTATTCGAAGTTAACCGAAACTCGCCAAAAGTCCTATCAATGGATAGCTTCTGTGAACAATATCTCAGTCAAGTTAATATAATTTTTTTATTATATTTGCTAATTACTTATTGTATTTAATTTTACTACAGATTGTTAATTTCTTTATTTTTAGTTAAAAAAAAGTTGAAACCCAAAAATCGATATTAACTATTAATATAAATATTGTAACATTAATACTTTAAATAAAAAATTAATTGATAATTTCACAATCACAGTTACACAGTAACAATTATTTTTCGTTTTAATATTTGCATAAGCATATATGGTTTAATGATTAGATATAATATTTGTTAAACAAAATTAAACACAGTCCAAAGGATTTGAATGACAGGAAATATCACATTAAAAATTAAAGAAAACAAAAAAAACATAAGTCACTATAGTTTTTCTGGTAAATTCCAAATTTTAAACTATATATATTAATGTAATAAAATTAATTGATTAACAAATTGATTAAGTGAAAATATTTACTTTATTAATACCTATAATTAATTGTGTAAAAACATATTGGGCATCAATAAAATAATTGTGTTATATAATATTAATTAATACTGATCAATACAAAATTAAATTTGTACAATAGTTTCCATTTTTTTTTTTTTTTTTTTTTTTTGGTTTAACACGGAACAAAATATGATTATAAATATTATTTACTAAAATTTTTAATACAACAAAAAAACAACAATGCATAAAATTGATTATGTTTTAATTCAATATTGTCTTTTTGATATTTTGTTAAAAATTAAAGCATGGTAAACCCTGTTGAGTATCAGTATTTATCTAAATAAACTATGAATACTATTTTCACATTCATATTACGCTAAGACAGAGGTATTTACCATACTAAAAATTAGATTTTATATTTATTCACGAATTATATTATATTGTAATTTATAAGTTATAATTTGTATACGAGTAAAAGTATTAAAATAAGATTTATAATTATACTTTACTTAATTTTACAACAGTAAAAATTATCATTTTTTTTATTGATAAAAATAAAATAACCTATGATTCATCCCATAAACATTAACTAATATAATAAACCTACCCAAAAGTAAATTACAAAATTATCAAATACAGATAGTGTACCTAAAATTATGATTTAAAATAGTGCCTGATTATTACATAATAATTATTAATATAATACCCGTTTAGTATGAACTTTGTACAATTAAACAAAATAATTTATATAATATTCATATAAGTTTAAAAAAATAATACAAATAAATGTAATAGCTAAAATCTTAAAAAAAAAAATATTTGTATAACATTTGATTCTTAACATAGTCTAACAAAAATAATGAAAATTGAACAGATACCCTGATAGAATAAAAATGCGATTTTAATTTTAAAGGCCTCAAAAAATATCATTATCACTTTGTTACCATTATGTTTAAAAATTTTTTTTATATATATATATATATATTTATATGAAAAATACTAATAATACTACCCTTTAATTAAACTACTGTCAGTCATTAAATTAATAAGATCTTGTTTAATAAAATTGTTTTTACGTGCAAGTAAACACATTTTTATGTACAGAAAAACTTTAAAACTCAAATTGTTGTAAAAATATTGCTACATAATATGTTCTAAATACATTAAAATAAAATTTAAATCTTCCAAAAAAAAAAAAAAAATACAATTTTCCTTTTAAATTATTAAAATGTATATTATACTTATTTATATTTTGTTGTCTTTAACCATTGGTACTAAAAATATTAGTGTTAGGTATAATTTTTTTGATCTATTAAAGTGATTTTGTAAATGATTAGTTTTACATTGACTGTTTTTAAATAAAAAGAAAAAACCAAAAATTGTTTTAAATTATTTGATTACTAATTATGTATATACGATTCTTAAAGTTGTCTAGATACTTTTTCAACTTCCTTTAAACATTCACTTACTAATGCTTTAGCTTTATGAATTGACTTTTTCAATCTTTCAGTAGAGTTCTTACAACCTGTGTAAATTGGTCGGATCGACCCAGACATTTCTTCAATAACTGTCAATAACTCTCTATATTTAGCCCAGCCATCTTCACTACTTAAAGAATCAATATCAAATGTTTTTTCAACATTTTCTAATTGACCAGATATTCGGTCTGCAGTAGTAGAAGGTGGAGGCATATGTTCGTGTTTATAATGTTTAGTTTTGTTTTGTGTGTTTTCTTTGTTGTAATTCACCGCAGTCTTTTCTTTAGGTTGTTCATATGCATATGATTTTCTTTTATTAACTTGACTAAAATTCATTAACAATTCAGGATAGTTAAACGGCAAATTAAATGGCCATTGTTGTTCGTATTGAGCATTATAATTAGGATAGTTATGATGTTTACGATTCATTGTCAGGTCTAAGAGTGGATTGTAATTGTTCATATCATTGACCATGTGGTTTAATTGAGGCATACTAGATTTTCCACGCTTGCGAGGTGCACCTCCTTGTGTATTTGATGGTAATGAATGCTTATTTTTTGATTTACCACTACTAGTATTTGGTACTAATGATAATGATACTGTACTTTGTGGGGAAGTAGAAGAAACTGCATATTGACTGTTGGATTTTGAACTTTGTGATATAGGTATGATAGTCAACTCTGAATGACATCCCATATTGCCTGACTTAATTGCTTCCAATAAACTATTTTCCATGATATCAATTCTTAAATTTTTCGTTCTAAGAATTAAATATTAAAATAAAATTACTGAATGAAAATATTTGTTACACTTTAAAATATGCTACATCTAACATAATAGCATTAATGAATAATGTGTAAAATAAGATATTCACATATTATAAACACTTGTATTGATTGAAATTGAATATCAACATAAACAATAAAAATAATAATGGGTTTATAACTTTAATTATTAGTTTTATTACAAAAACGAATATTAAGAAATGTTATTGACTAATAAATAATCAATATTTAATGAAAGTTTAAATTTACTACGTAAATGACCTAATAACTTGTATTATTTTAATGATAATAGGTAATTAATATAACTTACTTTGTTTATAAAGGTTTAATTTTTAAGTTTAAAGAAATTTATTTTTTGTTAACTTTCTTATAACAATGTGAATAACCATACAGCATCATATAGTTACTTTATGATATTTCTTAAATGAAAACAATACAATAATTAATTTAATTACAATATTATTATTTATGAACTTGAGGAAAAACAAACGTCATTTCATCATTCATCAATCATACTATCATTTATTGACTACAGCAGTATAATATTCTACAAGCCACAATGGAAAGATCAAGATCTAGAATCAAGAATGATAAGGTAAATGTATAATTTATTATTATTAAAACCGTTACTAGGTTCATTTCAGAGTTTGGGAATATTATATTATTCATAATTGATATTGATTATTTAAATATATTTGATAAAAAATTAAGAAAGTGTAGTTTAAATAATTGTCGTACTGTTGTTATATAGGTAGTACCTACTTTGTACTTTGCAGAGATAATGTTGTTAAAATATTATGATAAATTAATCGTAATTAACGTGATATACTTGAAAAAATATTTTCTCTACACGATTACACCGTGATGATTAATTAATAATCATCATAGTTAAAGATAATAAATGCAATAATCATAAATGTAAATATCAAGTTTAATATACATATTATGATATAATATATGAGGCGTTAACTAATATAAAAAATTAAACACATACTCTTCACATTTTCGCTTTTTCTTTACACTGTTTTTTTCTTTATTTTTCTGATACTGTTCTTTATTTTTGAATGTACGCTCTTCATCTGAAATCTGTAATCTCATATTTTTATCCATCTTAAAATGATGAAAAAAAAATATTTATTTATTTTACAACACTTATATTATTAATTATTATTTGTATATAGTTTGGTTGTCATAGTAATTTTTTGACAAAACGTCACAAAATTATGATTTTAAAAACTTTGTTATTATAAAGATAATAAACAAAACTACAAATTAGGATATCGTGCAATTAGTAATCGGACGTTTAATCACCGTCAATTATTATGGTAGGCCATTTAGCCCCCAGGTATTTGAAGTCATCAGTCAAATTTAGTTTTTAAACAATTTAATTTAATTATATAAAATATAATAATATTTTTAATTTATAATACAAATACATTTACATAATTATTTATGTTTTAATATTCAGTCAGTCACTATTTATTTTTAATTTCAAATTGTAATTATTAATTTATTATTAATGTTTAATTATTAAACCCCTATGACACGTCGATTTGATCATAAATGTATAATTTTCCTAGCTAAACCTTATTTTGTGTTATAATACTTATAATAGGTACATGTTCCACTATTCTACATATATGATGAATAATATTAATGAAAATCGTACTAAATGAATCGCACCGAACTCAGAATTGTTATGAATGTTATAACTTATAATAGATTTGTATATTTCGTTTACGTTAATGGAATAAAAATACACTAAGAAGTTTTAAATTACTTATTAAAAATGTCTATTATATACATGTACATAATAAATTTCGATTTTATTGTTACTTTATTAAAAAAAAATTATAAATTATCTTTTTTTTATGATATTAGTTAACATTTTTACATCTAATCTAAAGTTTTTGTTTTACAGCCAAAACTTAACTCCTAGACTTCATCCTTAAACACTTCCTGGATGGCTAGTGTTACAAATTGGTCAAAGTCAATTAAAATTATTGAAAGCAATTCATATTGATCTGGTATAACAAAAATTAAATCAATATAAGTTTCTTTATTTTGCGTTAAAGCAAAGCATATATATTACAGGAATTATTTAATTATGTATTCAGGTATTCTTACATATTGTAATAAGTATACTTGGTAGAATTTAGAAGGAAAAGTTGGAAAGTTTTTGTCCATATAAATAATTCTAGTAAACTTTTGAGGTACGTTTTTGAAGAAAAAAATTTAATACGGTTTTTATTATTTTTGTGTCATCAAATAAAAATAGAGGAGGGGGGTTTTGAATATAAAATTGAATTTAGTTTGTACTTTAAAGCAGTTAAATCAAAAAATGTATCGAAATAAATACTAATAATTTTGCTTCTTATCGATGTTGTACCATATAACTTTTTTTTAAATAATTATTTACATTCTGAGAAAATTTTTATTTATAGTACTGTTGTAAAAAATACCACATAGGGTATAGGCAAACTTATAAATTTAATTAATTTAAAGCAATAATACAATGATTATTGTGTTTTTTCAAATAACAATAATTTTTATAATTAAATATTTAATAATTTATAATAAATATGTACAAAAATTATTTATTTATAAAGCGAAACTTCTAAATATGGTCGCTAAAATGTTGTCTGCTATTTAGGGTTAAGGGAGGTTTTACTTTAAAACTTTAGGTATTCGTTAAGTATGTGACCTATCGATCGAAAATCGAATTTAGTATGTGACCTACCTGTATTACTGGTTATAGTTATTATTGTATATATCTACGCATTTAATTGATTGTATTTCATCGATGATAACATTGATAACAGTTGAGCCTATCAATGATGAAATGAATGGTTAAATCACGTTAAATTAACCACTTTTAACCATCTGAATCCAACATACATATTATATTTTTGTTTTAATTTTTAATAATTTGTCATTAAAAACGTTAATAGATAATCATGTTTTAAAATTTTATACATAGTTATTCCCGTACATTTGGTTGCCCGTACAAAATGTACCCGTGTAAAATTTGGTTTCCTAATGTTAATATTTAGCATAACTTGTGTTGATAAATAATATTTTTGGTTTTCTTATTTAGTTTATAAATGATATTTTTGACATATCAACTTTGCATAGTGGACTCGCTTAGCGTTGTTTTTTTTTATCATTTACAGCAGAATTTTTTTTAAATAATTTTCCTTTTTATTCTGGACCAAAAAAACAACAACTTAAAAAGTTATAATAGTGTGAACCGACAATAATGAAAAAGTTTTGTACTGTTATATTACATAAATTATTATTCACTAAAATACTAATTTATAATAATAATTAATAATTAGTAATAGTGATAAAAAATATATGCCGATTTTTTAAAGATTAATTATTCGATTTTTCATTAACTTAGAGAATCAAAAATAGGCTTCTAACATGTTCCACGATATACTTTTTCATAAATCAAATAATCAGATTAATAGTTTCAGAAAACATACGCGTGACAAAGTTTTCCATTTTCACATTTATATAATATATATTTTTCGGCAGGGAGGTATCCGTCTATTTTATATAAAAAAAAAATAATGTGGTTAAAAAAACTAATAATTTCTTTATTATATCATTTTAATTTAAATTATATCTCTGTACATATTTCTATTATAATTAAAATACTTCTTTATAAACAATATTTTTTGTTCTTTGATGAGGGCGTGAGGTGCATATAGGTTTTTTGTCGAGCTGACATGGGAGCAAGCAACATAAAATTGTCCAAGAGTGGCAAGAGTAAAACAGGGATTCGTGATATCAAGGATGTAACTTTCAGTGTTTGTCCCTGTGCCTTATTAATGGACATGGAAGAACAAAGTTTTTTAGGAAATTGGACCCGTTTAGAATTTTAACGGGTGTTAATTTATGTTTATACGCTGATATCAAACACATAATTTGACGGACAAAAAAATCAGATTGCAGGTAACTAGAAACCAGCGGGTCGCAGCACCACATTTAGGTATACAATTTAACGTTTATTTTAATTATTATTATCTAATTATTTACTAACTTTATGCCTATGACATTCACGTGATCACGAGGAACACATAAAAAAAATCTGTTCAAAATTGAATCAATAGTTATTGAGTTTACTTTACACAAAAATTGTGCTTATATAGCTTTATAATATATTAGTATAGATAAATAAGTACGATTATTTTTAAATTATATTCTAATAATTTAATGTATTAATTATAATTTTTATATATTTTTTTACATATCCTTACAAAATTAAAAGATATTTTGTACTTAACAATATTTTTTAAATACTTGAAGTGATATATTTTGCCCGCATTTCTGCGAGTATCCTTCAAAACATCACATTTACTATTTTTTGTGTTATGTTATCCTAAATATATTTGTGTAGAAATATCGAAATATCGATAAATCAACAAGAAAAAATTACTGTTAGAAAAATCCCAAATACAAATTCTACGAAAATAATCTCTGAGAAAATTATATTTTCTTATTTTCTTAACTAATAATTGTATTACATTCTATTAAAAACTCTCGAAAAATACTGGCATTGATAATCTTTAGTACAATTTAGAATATTTCCAATATTTCATATAAAAGAACCAAAATATTAAAATCATACACATTCCTGCTTTGAGAAATGAGGAAGTTTAGAAAACGAATTCGTCTATATGAGTGAGGATAATAAATAAAAATATAAAAATTATGCTGTATGTGTTCGTCGAATGTATTTATTAATATGAAACTGTAAATAATATTTCAATGTATATTAATTATTTCTAAATGATTATTAGATAAATTTATCGTTAAACAATAAATATTTATTAGTTAATACTTAGTGGATATATATCTTAGATTTTGGACTATCATAATTAAATTTTAAATAAACAGCATTGCAATATTGTATATTGAGGAGTATGATATCGATAACTCAACATGCACCATATACCGCCATTACTGCTGTTCTCTTATCAATTTAATATATCATTCATTGTATTAAACTATTTTCGTTTTTTATTAATTTTTACTAAATAAGTATAATTTATATTTTTAAATATAATATAAAAATTGTATCAAAAATTACGTAATATTATTAATTATTAAGTAATTTATTTTCTTTTATATGTGAATTCTTAATAATAAATTCATAGTTATTGTATTTGTTACTAGTTTTTTACTTTTTAATGATATTCTATGATCTACTTTTATTTAATAATAATAAAAAAGAAAAATCCATATTAGAATCAAAATTTCCTTAATTTTTGGTTCAATGTTTTTGTGAAGTTTCACAATTTAGATTAACTTAATATATAAAATGTAATCATTTCTTACAATTATTAATTATTTAAATTAATATAAAATTCCATCATTCCACAATGCACCAAAATCATTTTTCTAATCCAATAAATAAAAATTGTTCACCTCGTTTTTACCACCCAACCACACCAACTATTGTTGATCGCATTGTTTTTCCACAAATGGTTAATGACG